AAGCTCCAAACCGAACTTGTTATAATAACAACACCTCATTCCTACTTCTCCTTTTTCCATTTGGAAATTTCCGTCATATCCATCTCTCTCCTCTCTCTCTCTCTCTCTCTCTCTCTCTCTCCACAGACAACAAAAGCAGCCGACACAAAGCTTTCCTAAGAGGCGGTAGAGATCTCCGGCAGATAAGAAATCAGCGGCTGGCGTCAACGGCGGCGATGAAGATGACTCCAGCGACAAATGTGAGAGGTTAGTGTGCTTTAAATCCAAGCATGCATGGTGTTTTTCGGTTCAGTTTTCTCCATCAAGCTTCATTAGCTTCGCCCCTATTTTTTATTCAGGAAGAGAAGAAAGTTTCAAGATCTGGGATTGAAAGACTGTCAGAAACACAGAGCATGATGCTTGCGTCGGCGATGGTGCTTCCACCGCTGGATCTGATGTCGGTAAAACAATGTCCGGGCGACGAGAGATGGAGCCGCAGTTGTACCCGCAACCACCGGGGAGTGAGGCGGTGAATCAAAGTTGGCGGCACGATGGGATTGATGGGGAGGCAGATCGGCGGGGATGGAGTAAATTAGGGTTAGGTGGGTGGTGATGGTGAGTGTGTTGATAGATCATATAATTAGATGGGTTGGGCTTAGGGTTATAGGGGGGACTGGTTTGGGGTCTGGGGAGAGTGGTGGGCTTTAGGTTGTGTGTGTATTGGGTTTCGGTTTGTCGGTTTGGGTTTTGGAATTTAGGTTGGGTGGTGACTACCATGGGTTCTGAAATACCCAGTTTTTCTTTTAAAATTCCAAACCGAATAGTGTTAATTCGGTTTCAGTTTGGTTTTAATTCGGTTTGGCTTGACTCGGTTTGGGTTTAGCAAACCGGTTGCCCACCCCTATCTCGGAGTGACTGAGGCAAGGTTTTTCTTCCTCATGAGAAGCCCCTTGAGAAACTTTGCATACCTCAGAATTTGCGCCATCGCTTCCAAGAAAGGAACCAAAACATTAAGCTTCTTGAGCACCTCCATAAGTTTCCCAAACTCAGTCTCCAAATGTTCCTTGTGAACTCTTATTGGGAAAAGAAGTGGAAGCTTATACTCAGCCACAAGAGGTGGCATCGACGGTTCCTTCTTATCCTCTTCATCCTTTCCTTCCAAAGGAACTTGTTCCTAGACCTTTGGAGGGGCTTCTTCTTCCAGAATTACTTCTTCCGTCGCAACATCTTAAGTTACCTTCCCGCTTCTTAGTGTAATAGCATGCACCCCCGCTCTTGGATCTTTTGGGTTGGCAACGGTTTGTGAAGGTAGAACTCCTTGAGGTCTCTGGGTGAAGATCTCAGCAAGGTCGCCGATTTGAGTCTCCAAGTTTTGAAGACTTTCTTGACGACTTCTTAAACTTGCCTCAACCGAAGTGAACTTGTTTGTTGCAACTTCCATGAACTTCTCAATCTTCTCAAACTTTTGAGAACTTGTACTCACAAAGATTGTGACTAGGTCTTTAAGCTTGGAGACCCTACGGAGTTGTTGTTTTTGAAACCCTTGCATACCTTGTGGTTTGTATTTTTGTTGTTGAAAGTTCGAGGATCAAAATTGTGGCCTTTGAGCAAATGGAGGTCTTGGTTGATAACCTCTGGTTGGCCCTTGGAAATCGGGTGGCTTCGGATTGGTTGGTGATGACCATACCAAGTTGGGATGATTGTGCCACCCCAGATTGTATCTATAGCTATAGAGGTTGTCGTAGGGATTGCCCCCTAGCATTAGAAATAAAGTTCACTTATTCCAGAGTGCTCACCTCTCTAATGATTCTTCAACTTCATGGTTAGGACTCGAACACCAATCACAAACCATAATTGAGCTTTTCCCTTACTTCCTATCATGCAAGATCACCTTGATCAACTCATCAATCTTTGCCGCAAGTGGAGGAGTTTCTTCGATGGAGTGCACTCTCGTTTCTTGAATCTTCCTTCCACGCCTTGTCATCCCCGAATCATATCCCTTTGCATCCATTCAAACAATGTCGCCATTTGGGTGAATTATTGTTGAGCATATTCCCTTGGCATAGAGAATCAATAAGTGTCTGATCTTCGTGGAAGAGACTATTATAGAATGTCTCCAAAACCATGTTGTGTACATTGGTGAAAGAAGTTGGAATAATACTCCCACGCATCCCTTAAAGTCTCATCTTCCTATTGAGAAAAATCGGTGATATTCTTTCTATACTATGCCATTTTGGAAGGCGGGCAATGCTGATTCATGAACTTGGTAAGCAAATCTCCCCATGATGTTACCGAGAGCATAGGCCTATGGTTTACCAACTCTGTGCCTTGCCACTAAGTGATTAGGGAAAGAATCTCAACATAATGGTGTCTTGAGGCATCCCATTGATCTTCAAGACATCCGTCAACTCGTAAAATTGGTTGATGTGCTCCCTTGGGGATTGGTCTTCAAGTCCATTGAATTGAATATTGTTATGAAGCATGGTGATGAGGGCCATCTTGATTTCAAAGTTATTGGTTGCCACATGCAGGAGGATAATGCTCAACTGAATGTCTGCCACCCGTGGAGACATGTAATAGCCCATCCTCCTGACTTTATTACCTCCTTGTTCAGCTTCGTTCGCCATCACAAGGTTTTCAACTTCAACCTCTTCTTTCCTCATTGGGTTCAACTTGTTGTTAAAGGTGTCGGGTTGCTCTGGTCATACACCTCCTGCACACACTTCACACAACACAACACAAGGAAAGACAAGCAAGATCCAAACTCCAAAATGAAAAATGAAATGCTAGATTAACAGTAAACTACTTTTTATGAATAATAGACCGTGTTTCCGGCAACGCGTCATAAAAACTTGACTTGCTACCACTACACTTAATCCCAACTATAGGCCAAGTCCAACAATCTAATTAACACATCATACACTAGGGTTCACAACATCCATGTGAAATTGGAGACTACTCCATAGCTAGAGGAGAAAACACAAATAATATAGAAGAAAAACACATTGCAAGTTATCTTAATTCTTATTAGAGGATTGATTCAACCTTTCACTAATCTTGGGTAGGTGAAATTCTCTGTCCTTCATTCTTAGCTCGTAGCTTTCTCCCTTAACTTTGAAGAAGAATCTCCAATCTCTCTGGGACTCTCCCTTTTCAAATCAACTAACTCTCCCTTATATAGGTCCTGAGTGCACAAATCACGGTCTCACATCATGCCCGTGAAGTCAGCAATAAAACCGATATATTAGTGCAAAATGCGTCGTTACAGTAATGAACTTCACAAGCTGCTTATTGACAATTCGATTTGGAGACCGTGATCTTGACACTGCCCACGAGCTATAAGAATCCTCCTTGAACCATGCGATCTTCACGGTTTGAGTGTTCACTTCACGGTCTAAGCCCGTGATAAATGCTCGGCCACCGTGATCTCTGCACTTTTAGCCATTTTGCTCCATTGTAGCCTCTTTCATCCGACTTTCTGTCCCGGTGCCAAGATTACCTTCTTAGGTCTAAATTATGACAAAACAGAACAAAGCTCGCATAAACTAGCTTCAAGGACAGTGCAAACACATGAAAAGTCGCAAGTAAAAGGCATACAAAACTGTGTAATCTAACCCGAATCACTAATTTGTCACTTCTCCTCGATCCTCATCTCTTCTTTACCTCCAAAACCAGCACACGTCGTATTCGAATTCCTACCATATGTGTCCTTTCACATCTTTGCAACTCTCACCCCAACCCTGTGACTACTTTGTCGTTGAAGCTACTCTCCTTCAGCCTCCCATTTGTCGCCACTTTCACTTATTAGTGAAGTTTGCCTACAACCTTTATGGCTTTATCATTTTCTGATGGTTTCCTCTTCTCATATTTTCCCTCGAAAGGTGAAAGGCAATGAATGATTGTTTAAAAGTCTATTGATTTATTTTATATTAGTGGGAGTGATCAATAATATATGAGCTAGTTCAGTTATTTCTTTATATTTTGCAAAATAAAAGTCATTATTAAAAAAATTCGTCCCTCTACTATGTCGTTTTATCAAACATGCCCCTGTACTTTGAAAAAATGATCAAAAATGCCTTTCTGTTAATATTTTCATCCAAAAACAGTCAACCACGGTCAAACTTTGATTTGGGCGACACAAATGTCTAAAATATCCCTGGTAATTTCACTTTAGAATTTTTTGGGTTCTTTTGTAGAGCCAAATACCTCTAATAATTTCACTTTAACGAGACCTAGAAAATAAAATGGGGACAAAACTGACATTTTCTCTTTCATTTGCCGATGTTGGGTCGTCTACATCTCGGTTCAACTATGGTTGATGATTTTTTTAATGAAAATTTTAATATAAGGACATGTTTGATCATTTTTCCAAAGTACAAGGACATGTTTGATGTAAAAAATAGTAAATGAACATGTTTGATAAAACTACATATTATATCTATAACCCAAAATTCTAACAAATTTATAGAATTCTTAAAAGTTGATGTGTTTAGACTTCAATTTTACATTTATGCTTTTACCATTATTTCGCTTTTACACAAAATCTAGACTTCGACTCCGAACACATCAACTTTACCTTTACATGTATGCGATTTCCCCTTTATTGATTCTATATCATTATTCTTCATGGACTGTCATTTGCCTCCCTAATGGCAATAAAACATTGATTATTTGACCATTTACCACAGCCACAAATAAATAAATCGTAGCTTTTCCATAAACAATGGAGAAGCGCTCTGGATATTCAATATTTCACACAGATTGCCTGGCGTTGGATCTTGCAAATTAGGACCCGAACATCAAAGCAAGCCATTTATTTAATTGACAACGTTTCCATTTGCACTTTCATTAACCTTTCCCTTCTCTAGCTGCAGCCTGCAAGTCCCGTTGAACGGAGCCACATCCCCGGCAGCCATTGTTCAACTCTGTAGATAACTTTTGCCCAAGAACTCAAGTTCAACTTTTACCAACCCCTTGAAAGAAAAGGAATATAAAAAAAAAATCCCATATTTTCCACATATTTCCCAATTTCCGCCACGACCCAGATTGCTTTCCCCCTTAATTTCACCTGCTACGCCTAGCTTAGCAAGTCTCGTTTTTTCTCCTCCATCTCCACGGATTTCACCATCCCCTCCCTGACAACTTGTTTGCCCATAGCCGAGTGAAATTTTTGGTGGGGTAAATTAAGGGCAATTTTGCTCTTGTCACACGCTTTGAATCCTTCCCTCCCCCAGATTACGACAATTGGGAAAGGAATTATTCATTAAACAAACACTCCCCCCTGGCCCCTGTCAGTCGAATCACGCCAAGAATCAATCAGCCTGCCATTCTTTCAGAAAGCAATAAAGAAACAAAGTCGCTCACTCTCCTATTTCTGATTTGGAAGCGTCTCCTTCTTCCGGGTTCTCGCTTGCAAAGCAGCTGCCTAAAGAGGCGGGTGGAATTTCGTGACGATATCAGGTTTTTCTTAATCGCACCCTTATTCCTGCATTGCTTCGATCTATCGTTGTCGGTGGTGGGTGTTCCTTGTCTGTTTATGCGGTCATATTTGTGGGGAGTAGGGAGTGAATTCAAGATCTAATGAAGGTCTGGGTCTTTTTATAACGTCCTGAGGGATTTGCGAACGTATTGGTAGATGAAAATGGATATGAATGGGGAAGGTCCATCGGGCGGGGGTTCCAGTTCGGATCAGTTACAGAAAGAGGGATCTGAAGTTACCCATGTCCAGAAAGTTCAGTTGGATGCATCTCAGCACGAGTTTCATCCGATGAATGCATTGGAGATCCTGAGAGAAACAGTAAGGATTCTCCGGTTCAATGCCGCATCGTTTATGCTCATTGCTACTTTCCTCGTATGCCCAGTTTCCGCCCTACTGTTGTCCAATGTGTTGGTTGATCAATCCGCTGTAAAGAGACTTACCATTAGGTTGATGTTGGTTGCCAAGTCGAGTGGTCTTCCGTTGAAGCCTTTCATCAAACACTCGTGTCACCGTTTCGCTGAGATGGTTGTTTCATCAGCAATGTGCTTCCCTTTCTTTCTCACTTTCTCCTTATCATCCAAAGCTGCTGTGGTTTACTCGGTGGACTGCACTTACTCGAGGAAAGAAGTTGACGTCTCCAAGCTTTTGGCGATAATCTGCAAAATCTGGAAGAGGGTTGCTTTAACATATATATGGTCATGCATGGTGATTTGTGGCTGTGTCACATTATTCGTTGTTCTTCTACTAGCTCTATGTAGTACGTTTTCAGTGCTTGGTCTGTGGGCAGAGTTGAATCTCTATGCTGCATTGTTGGTAGGGCTTGGTTTCTCAATTGTTTTCGCCAATGCAATCATTATCTGCAACATTGCTATTGTCATATCTGTGCTGGAGGATGTTTCAGGCCCACAGGCATTGCTTCGGTCAAGCATTTTGATCCGTGGCCAGACTCAAGTTGGGCTTCTGATATATCTCGGATCGACTATTGGTACAGCATTTGTGGAAGGCTTGTTTGAGCATAGAGTGAAGACGTTGAGTTATGGAGATGGGTCTTCCAGGATATGGGAAGGCCCCCTTTTGGTGATCATGTATTCATTTGTGGTGCTTGTTGACATGATGATGAGTGCAGTTTTCTACTACAGTTGTAAATCGTATAGACTGGAGGCTGCGGAGGAATGCCAGTCGATGCTAGAGACCATTAGTGTCTCCCCTGATTCGGTTGAAGTTCAGCAACATGGTGAAGCTTTCTCAAGTTAGCAAAAAGAGAAAACAACAACACTTTCTGAAGGTTAGGAGAGAACTTAGAATGTTCACCTTCTGTGGAACTTCTGATTAAGCAGCTGATGGCTCACTGTTCTTCAGTTGACATGGAAGCCATTCAGTGACCGGCATGGCAGGAAGCTTTAAGAAATGAAGAAACTGTAAAACTTGGATTAGTTATAAGATTGAGGATGTGGACCGAAGTTGCCCTTTAGAAGGTGAACTCCAAATTCTATTTTATTTTTTTCTCTTTAACTTTGCATATAATGTTGTATTGTTGTCTCACATGGTAGAGAGAATGCAGTCCGGAGAGGTAAATTGTTTGTTTTATACTCCATCACATACTTCATCAGAAGATGGTTGTTTCCAGTTTAGGTTGAGAGAAGATTATACAGCATATATGGGTGATTGAAACTGGAAATGCTTCATTCACTTACATCACTCATCTGTAATTCTTTGTTAAGTCTTTCCATCAATGAATCTCAATTGTTCTGAAAGGCATGTCTCTTAGTCTTCATACTCTGTACTCACCATACAGCTAGTTTGTCCAATGCCGATGTACTTGAGAAGTGTTTCAAGGTACTTCTTCTGTTTCTTATGATCTCAATTCTCACAGCATCCGATTTATGTTTCCAGTAAAGATATGTCCCATATTACTTTCCTTCTCCCAGTTTCATTGAGCTGGATGGTAAATTACAATAGCTCAAGAGCCACAATAAGGATTCATACTGTTGTAGTCTGTGGAACATGAAGTTACATAACTTGTGCCTGAGTGCTTCGATACTTACCCAGTACCGTGGAACATGAAGTTGCTTAACATCTACCTGAGTTTCTTCTGCAATGCTTGGATTGAGAGTAGAATCTGCACAGTACCGTGGAATACAAGCTCCAGAGGCCACAAGATGATCTGTTACCTGCAACTCCAACTAGCTGTTTCATCCATAGATGACTGACTATATGTGATGTAGCAGTGAAAAAATAAATTTCAATGTGCGGGAAGATTTTAAATGATTCTGCGTGGTTAGGCAAGAGAGGGATCGCTTTGACGGCGATTTAATGAATGTTGGATGGGAAAGGATTCAGTTAGAAAGTTGGATAGTTGTGTACTACAGAAGGAAGTCATCCAAAATCTACTGGACATCTAAATATAGCAATAATTTTATTATTATCGCCCTAACTTAAAACATAATATTATGTAATTGTCCTTTATTAATCCATCAAATTCAACAGAACAAACAAAGCCCTAAAATTTCTAATCCTCCACAAACTACCTTCGAAAATTTATAACAATTTGATGCAAGCATTCTTTGACTCGAAAATTATGGCCCGCTTTAATCTATCTGGTAGCCCGAATCTATCCGCCATACCCTAGCGCAAAGAAATACCTTTGGTTGCCATTGTACCGGTGCTAATGCTGAGGTGGAACCGGTGACCGGTACTAAGGAAGGTATCTGGGGCACGAAGCTGAGGCGGGTACTCCTCAGATCTCGTACTATGATGGAAGTGCGGGCGGCGGCGCGTCTCCTATCTGGGGAAAAATCATATGAGGTTAAGGAAGGCTGGGAATATAGATGGGCGATGAATCGAGAGAAAGGATAAAGAGCTATTTTTCAATTTTAAATTAGGGTGATTAGCAAAAATTAAGGCGACAATCACTAACTCCCAAAATCTATGGGCTAAAAGGTAGATGAAAATTGAAAAAGGTCAAAAGAGACAAAAATTGTCAAACTGCCTCTCGGGCTTCCATATAAAGTCTCCCACTTTTCTAAAGCGATTTTCAAAGCACATGCCCTTCCGTCCCTTGGTTGGCTCAAGTGTTCCTTTTAGCTTCGAGAACCTGTGTTGCGGTAGTTAGGGTTCCACGTTGGAGCAGATGTGAGCAAATTTAAACGTAGATAGCCGATGCCTGCTCATTTAGGCATACAAACTTACTTTTTTCTGGATATTAGTTTCCCTCGTTGAACAATCAGAAAGATAGTTTTATGGCAATTTGGAAGAATTTGGTGTAGCCTAGGTGTTCGACGAAATGCCTGAATTAAGCCTCCTTGTTCTCATTGTGAACAATATGCAGGAATTAATCATGAACGTCCGAACACAGGCAGTTGCTTTAATATTTAGTGAAATCATTATCCAGCTCGAACGAATTAGTGTCTGACAGAACTAGGATGCACACGGTGAGTCGCTTACCACTATCTTTGCACCAAGATGGACAAGCATCCGCAAGAAAAGATTCTGAAATTTGAGGAATTCGTAGACAACCGCTTTGATACAACCCTGGATTACCTCATGTCCAAGCTAGAGTTACTTGTCCAAGAAGCTAACACAACTCATTTGAACAATATGAATTTTTGGCTAAGTATACTGACGAGTTTGGGCAGCCTACTTTGGGAGCTTGGTTCTTCCAACTGGGTTGGTGGAAATATGAGTTTAAGGTTTTGTTTTGAAGCTGGAGTTCCGCTCTACAAGTTGGGATGGTTGGAAGCTCGAGGGGAAGCTCAGAAGACCATTTAAAAGGGTCAACAAAATGCTTCCTCAACACTGAAAAACTAGCAGAATTTGTTTAAGTATAAAATGAGTTCAGGGAGGCTACTTTGAAGCTCTATTTCCAGGAAGATAATTTGGAATCAAGGAAGGATCTTCATACTACATGAAAGTATGTATGTTTTTCAACATAGGCAAGCATTGGCTAAGGAAATGGAGCCCTGGAAGGTTGTGAACAAGGGAGCCCAAAGATGCTATGGAACCTGTTTCGAGAGGCAACTTACTTGAGCTATAATAAAGGGAAGTTTGGACGAGTTTGGATTCCTTTTCCAGTTTGGATTTTTACCTTAATTGTAGTATAGTCTAATTATGTTTCCTTGTTCGTTTTGTAGTTGAATTAGGTTTAAAGTTTCTCTATTTAAGGCCTAGAAACTCCAGTGTAATAGATAGACGTTGTTAATCAAAGAACCTTTGTTCATTGAGTGTTTATGATCGTTAATTGTCCTTGTTACGTGGATTGATTTCCAGTGACGAGCGAGCTCAGTATCGATTGAGTCACCACCTCAATCGTGGTTGAGTTGCGACTTTGTTTGGATCGAGCCTCTTCACCAAATTGTGTGTTGAAGTTGCACCTTCCAAATCCTCCTTTTACCCTGTTCTTCCCTGTTCTTTCATTCAACAAGCTTCAGTATTGAGGAATTGCGAGCTTTCATTAGCAAGCTTCGTGAGTTGGAGTTTATCATGCTTGAAACCTGATCTTGTTAGGGCTATCGGAGAACAACCTTGTGTTTATTTGCCCCTTTTTCTGTTTGCTCTCTCCTCCTTGCTTCTTACTTGAAGCTTGTCAGTCCAAATGATCACCTCACAGGATGTTCTGGTCTTTTGCATTTTACAGGGATAAGGTCTTTGAACAACAAATGATTTTGTATCCTTTTTCCCACAAAATGTTTCATTCAATCTACGATTTTTGGATACCTGCATACTTATTTATATTGGAACAACTATTTTCTAGCTCGAATTTGCGGAGAAACATTGAGAATTTGGAGAAGAATAGCGTTACCAGTCTAAGGACACTAATGAACCTTGGGTCTGAAGTTTACGTGCATGCATATGTGTAAGTACTTAATGACTCAAAATGCTCCTTTCTTTCTGCTAGTGTACATTGTGTTTTCATGGGATCTATTTCCTTCCGAAGATCGACTTTTTTGTTGGTATTTTTCTGATGAGCCCTAAGCTAGGCCTCTAGTAAGAATTAAGCAGCTCGAATCAAATTGTGTGTATGGGTTGGTTTCGAAGGGAAAACAGAGGGTGTTCTTGTGAAGGGGATAAACCAAACTAGCAACGTTAACACAAGGGAAAGAGGCTGGTTTTGGGTAGAATAACACCACGAGATCGATGATGGAAAGTCGATCGCTAGGTCTGCAAGTCCGGGACGAAAATCCAAGACCAAACTCAAGCAATCTAGCTCAAGGGAACTCCTCGGAGTAGATTTATTTCAATCAACTTCAACGTGAATTACAACTCAAAGTAAGAGCTATTTATAGCCAACTAAACCTATTCCAATCCTAAGAGAACAAGGAAAGAAACAAACAAAAATTCAACTCAAACAAGGTAACAAATCGGCCCAAACTTCCTTTTCTCCAAGCACAAGTAAATTGCCTTCTTGCACAGGCAAGCTGCTGGAAATCAAGCTTCGTAGCATCTTGAAGCTCTTCGTTGAAAGCCTTCTAGGTAAGATTTCCTTCAGTCAATGCCCTGTCTTTGTAGAGTAACAAACGTAATCTCATGTGGTGCGAAGCCCCAAATTGTGATCCCATCCCTGCTCCTCTGGTTGAGCTCCAAAGTAGGCAGCTGGAACACCTTTTCTGCCTTAGCCAAAGACAGACAATTTTCATATTGCAGGATAGGGTTTTGAGAAGCTTGAAATCCAACCCTCCTAACTTAATTTCCATGATCCAAGTGCACCAAGATGTAGAGGAACACCTAAGATTCAAAACAAGCCCTTGACTTGCATTTTCATTAAACCAATTCGGAGAACCAAGCCTCCAAAGTAAGGTTCCCGGAACTATTCCAACACTTAGAAAATTTCCATCTTTGTTCTCGTTAACTTGAATCAATCTTTGAACGATTAATTGGAACTTGAAACCTGTCCGAATTGTGATCAAATCAGTTTCGTAGGACGGATACCCAGCGCATGTTTGTCGATGTGGGGCTTAATATCACCCTAGGGGGGCGATTGATCTGAATCAGCACAGCCTAGGATCCAATTCGAATGAATTGAGGCCCATTTCCCTCCGCATTTGAAGCATTCGATCTTGCTCACAGGGCCTCTAACACGCTCTTGGTCGCTTTGGGAGACCATCGGCTTCGAAATTGGTGGACGAATTGCGGCCGGAGTCACGATTGGGGTTGACTTTGCTGACTGCTAAAAACCGGCGTCCAGAGTTCTGCTTCAGCTGCCTCTCGATCTTCATTGCCAAGTGGATGGCTTCTTCCAAATCATCAAACTGTCAAAGCTCTAGCTCATACCTGATCTCTTTGTTCAGCCCGAAGAAGAATCGTGAAATGGTTGCCTCGGAATCTTCTCGGACTTCTGCTCTGGTCAGAAGCGGTTCAAATTTAGTATTCGTCGACAGATCAACTTCCTTGGCAAATTGCTTGCAAGGACTCGTGCAATTCCCTCCAGTAGTATGCAGGCACGAACTTCCTTCGCATCATCCCTCTCAGGTCCTCCCAACTCGTCACTGGGGCTTGCAAGTTTCGTCGTCGCCGGACTTGGACCTGTTCCCACCAATTTTCGCTGTAGTCCTAAAACTCGTACGTGGCGAGAAGGAACTTCTGATTCTCCGTGTATTGGCCATATTGGAAGAACATCAGGATTTTGCGCTCCCAATCCAGGTAAGCCGAAGTACTATTGGTGTCGTGAAATGTGGGAATCGTCAGTCTAATTCCCCGGAGCTCCGAGACCGGAGTTTCTTCACCATCGTGCTCGAGCTGGCGATCCTCGAACGGT